CCGCGCTCCGCAGCACGGACGCCGCGATCTCTACGGCACCGCTGGCCCGATCCAGCGCGTTCTTGTTGAACTCGTCCACGTCGTCATCGAAGAGGAAAGTCGCGAGCTTCTGGAGTGCAGGGGTCCGCGCCGGGGTCAGCGACCCGCGCGGAGGAGCTCGGCCTCTGCGGCGGCCAGCGTGGAATCGACTGCGGACACCGCGGACGATGAGGAGGAGGCCGCGCCGCTCGCGCCCTGGCATCGTGCTCTGGTGGCGGTGCTCGCGCCCGTGGCGGTAGTGCCCCGGCGGCCGCGCCCCTCACGCCCGGTGGCCGCGGCACTCGCACCCGCAGTGGTAGTGCCCCGGCGGCCGCGCCCCTCGCGCTCCAACGGTCGCGGTTGTCGCGCCCCGGAGGCTATGTTGCTCGCACCCAGCTGGCTTTGTCGTTCGTGCCCGCGGCGGTCGTGCCCTGGCCGCTGTTGTTGCACCCCGGCGGCCGAGGCTGCATGTGCCTAGGCGCCCGCGAGCTCTGGTGGCTGGGCGCCCGGGCGACGATATGCCTATCCCCCGGCGGCACCTTTCTCCCCCGAGACCTCCTTACCCGAGACTGAGAGGGGCATGTGCGAACTCTGTGTGTATTGGGCCCACACAAGGCAATTATTTTTAGTTTTATCTCAACTCATGTCTCTACGAAAGAAGGAGAAAAACAGTGTCATAAAGCTATTTTTAGAAATCAGTGTTTAAAAAAACAGCTCACATGTGTGCCAAACAGGCTCTTAGTCTGTGATCTACAACCGAGGTTTATTATTTATTTGGAGAACGGGCGGCGCCTTACGGTGGGTCGGTCTGGTGAAGGCATAGGAGCACAGTGACCAAGACAAGCGAGCTCAATGAGTGGGAGTCACAGCAAAGTCGCTTATAAGCAAACCAGCTCTAGGCAAGTATATATTGGTGCTGTCTGATATATTGTCTCATGCATTGCCGGGCTATTTGCTTCGTTGAAAAGCCAGACTAAAAAATATTATTAGTTGATTTGTTATGAGAGAAAAACACTGTACCATAACTGATAAGTCAGGTTGATTAAATTGTCTCATATTAATCTATGATTCCTAAAATTATGCATTGACCGAATTAATATTATCATGGTCTACATATCATAACTTTGTAGCTTATTTGCGTCACTGAGTTGTGTACACATGAATAAAATATGTTATCTCCCTTGCCTTGCCTCTATCTTCTTCTCACCGGAGAGCACAACCAGACCGCCGTATGTCTCAAAAAAAAGAAAAAAGAAGCAAGCACACCGACGACACACCAGGAAGGCATCAACGGGGCACTGTGCGCTCGAGAGCGACTCGACCGAGCTCGGCCTCGCCTACCTCAGGCCCTGTGCGCGACTTCACCGGCAGCATGGTTGTCCTGGACTCCTGGCGCTGGCCGTGGTAGCGTGGCGCTTGCCGCTGTTCGTGTCAATGCCGGCCAGCGGCCACGCCTTCCATGTGCGCTTGCTTGCGGGGAATCGGCGTAGATCTGGTGAAGAGAAAAAATCGCCTCCCGTAGCAATGACACGACGTACAATGGTGGTGAGGTCGTCTCATTTACCGACATTTCCGTGGTTGAGCCCGTTGCCGAACAAAACAACGGCTCAACCTCTCTCCCTCTCTCTTCCAAATCAATAAAAATTATAATCCCGTATTTAGTTCCCAACTAAAATCCCAAAAATGCTACAGTACCAATCATATTGAATCTTATGATACGTGCATGGAGCATTAAATGTAGATGAAAAAAAATTAATTGTACAGTTTGGTTAGAAATTGCGAGACAAACGTTTTGAGCCTAATTAGCCTATGATTGAACACTAATTGTCAAATAAAAACGAAAGTGCTACCGTAACTAAAATTCCAAACTTCATCCAACTAAACACGCGCTAAGTGGCGATGCATAAAACAACTTATCAAACTGCTGACTGAAGCGATGTACCTACCCTAAAGGCCCAAACAGAGTTATTTACATTCTATCGCAGATTCACAGTCAGCTTCGTCCCAAGAGGCTTGATGAACAAGTCTTGCTGCTCAGTTGGCAGCTGCTGCCCTTTATGGCCCTATGGTCCTGTTCGCTTCTCTTATAAACCATACTATTTCAACAAACAAATAATATTTTTTTCTCACAACAAATCAGCGAACAATATTTTTAATCATAGCTTTTCAGCAAAGCGAATAGAACCTATGTTTGTTCAATTATTCATTCCGTTCTTCAACAGATTTCAATGGGTAACTAAAAATATTACAGTTCAAAGAGGAATAATAGCAGTACAACACCAACATATAAGTGTTCAACCAAGTCGACTTGGTAACATGCCTCCTTAGGCCTTGATTAGTCCTCTAAAGTTTACTTTCTATCTCATCAAATATTTAGACACATGTATAGAGTATTAAATATAGACTAAAAAAATTAACTAATTGTATAGTTTACGACTAATTTGCGAGACGAATCTTTTAAGCCTAATTAGTCCATAATTTAACAATGTGGTGCTACAGTAACACATTTGCTAATGATGAATTAATTAGGCTTAATAAATTCATCTCGTGGATTACTAACGGATTCTGTAATTTGTTTTTTTATTAGTATCTAAACACCCCATGCGACACCCCCATGTGACACCCGATGTGACACCCAAAAACTTTACACCCTGAATTTAACACAAGGCCTTAATTACATATAAATATGCCATCAAGTGGACATAACTTAACTACTACATGATAATTAGTCTCTGATCCAACCGACTGATAAATACCAAGGCTCAAGTGCAGGCACCAACATTACCAATCCTCCATGCCTCTTCAATTCGCAGCCAGAAGAACAACCCAAATAGCCAAGGGCCAAAAGGCAAGCACATAAGCACCTGCAGATATATTTCGTATTTTGGTCAGTACAAAATTTACAAATACATTTTAGCTGAACGCAATCAAGAGTGGCAGAACTATATCCCTATTACCAAAGAATAGAACAAATAATAAAAAAAGGACCAGAGCCTCAACCACATGTAATTCCAGAAATATGCTATGATGATCTCAAAGAGGCTCCAAGAGACTGGTATATAGATAGGCTCAATCACTGAATTCAAATAGATCAAAATCAATTTAATTTAGAAGATCAGCTACCCAAGATCATGTGCAGGCAATAGAAGGTGTCATTTGAATCCTGGTGGATTCTAAAAATATGGATAAAAAAAATCTAGTGCATTCATTGGATTCAGTGTATATTAAAATTCAATAGAACATAGCTTGCTTGGATGGGATTCTAGGATTCTGAAAACTTTTTTATACAGATTCATAAAAACCGCTGGGAACCAAACGGGGCCGAAAATTCTCTTCCTTCATCTTTACAAACTACACATGGGTTATTCTTAACCACAGTAAAATGACCGCAGTCCAAACTAGGGGAATCATAATGGGTTACCCAAGAGCACACAAGCTTAGCTTGAGTAAAAAAAAAACTAATGAGATTTATAAACAGTTTAAGAGCCCTTTGGAACGCAGAATTTTGACTCGTACAGGAATAGGAATGAGTTCATTTTCATAGAAAAAACACACAAAAAAAACATGAAAAAAGTGCCACATTCCAAAGGGGGGCTAGTTAAATGACCAAGGCTCAAGATTGTTTTCGATAGAGCTCAGTGTAAGCAAGCATGAAATTTGAGCAACTAAAAAAGGATGAACAAGTTAAGCTTAAATTTTCCATGAATAGTCTATTTCCTGATTTGAACTATCTAGGCACACCATCGTAGATGTCAATTGTCACAGACTATGCATAAGTTCAGATTTGCATAATACAAATTTAGAGTCTTGATTCAACACAAACTCCTTTGATCAACATAGCCTGCGACATTTACTTCAACACAAATTGCTAATATAAAGGTGGAAAATTGAAGGATATTGCAATTCAACATAGCTCACTTGGGGGGAAAATCAGCACTGTATAAGTATTCAGTAAAATGACTAAACGAAGAAAGTAAGGAACTACGGCCCTTGGAAAAACAACTAATATCCTGTCCAATCCAAATCATATTTTTGATATAATAAACAATAAAACTACTATCCTCCACCTGTACTACACAGGCCCCCGCCCCCCTGATTATTAGTAATGACATCTCCTCTCCCCTTACTATTTTTTCCTGCCTTACACTTAGTTGAATGCCATGTTCGGTGATGTTAACAGCACCTTTCAGTTAACAAATCCAGGTGGGGAAGCTCCTAACCCCTGTTCTTTCAAAAACATCACCGAACATACGAAAAGCACACCAAAACATGAATTACATATTCACAAACTTGCATTAGAGTTACAAATATCAGCTCACAACCTAAGTGGTCGCTTGCGACAATGAAACAAAAATATGTTTTCCCAACTAAGGATTCAGGACAGAAATAAAAAGTCGAAAACCTATATTTCTTTCCAAATATCTTCTGGATTCCTGAAAACAGTGTTGTATCTAGTAAAGTTTAAAAAGTTGATATGTGTGCTTAGGGAGGAGGGGAGTATTCCACTAAATCAGATGGACAAATACTTTTTTAGCCAAAAGTTAATTTCTTTATTTGCTAATAAGCTGTCTTCAACAAGTAGCAGCGGGAACGCCGTCAATACGGGAACCGTTACTTTCCTCATTATAAAAACAATTGCGTTCACATAGTCTGAAAACCTTCTAATAATAAATGTACCATACCAGTATCATACCACGATCCACGTTCTCTTCGCTAAAACATGGCTACTACAAGCTGACGCAAGAGATTGTCAAAAAGGGGCAGAAAAAAAGGGAGAAAAAGCAGACAAGCGGCACAATGCATGCTGATGATAAACAGGAAATAATTTGCATGCTGACTCCGTCCCTCTAATTAAATTAGTAAGTAGTCAGTGAAGCACCACCAACATATATAGAGAGATGCCCTTACTAATTTACATGGATCAACAATATCTGCAGAGGAAATTAAAGGGATAATGCCAAAGAACTTAGTAACTTACCGCTTCAAACACATGGTTTTAGCAATGACGGTGCGAAGCCAGAGAATGGATGGACTCTGAAGAAGTCATGCTTCATCTCACAGACCTTCTCAAGTTCGGAAGTCCTGACATCCAGCAAAAAGTATTCTCTGTTTGCAACATTCCGACGCTGGCGGCGGTGTGCTAAGGGCTGACCTCCTGGAATACCATGAAGAAATAAGAACCCCTCAGCCACACCACAGATGGAATACCTACACTGTCTGGCCAAGGGTATAATTTTCTCCATCTGCTGTTGGCCAGAAGGCTCACTGGTATTTAGCTTAGTGATATGCAATACGTCCAACGAGTCATCTTCCCTGTGACTACCAAAGAAAAACATCAAAGGTGTTCCTTCTGCACCCCCTACAATACCGGATTTGCTGCTGCTCTCAATAAGGTAGCTGGAAGGAACACTGTTGACAATCGAAAACTCCATCTTTCTGGCATCAAACACAAGCAACTTGCCAACCCAATGCCCCGTCCAGTAGAAACAACCACAGGCATAGTCCGGATAGGCCAACTTGCGGTATCCAGGGGCTTCAGTACCCAAAGAACTCCAGCTGGGAGATGCAGCGATACACCATCGCCCAGTGACAGAAGAGAAGACAAACGCAAACAGGTTAGTTTTATTCCGCGCGGTGCATATCACCTTGAATGACGTCTCCTCCTCATCTTGGCCAGCTGGAGCAAGGAAAGCATCGAAATCGACGATGCGCCCGTGCTGAGCTGTTATCTCCTGTGGTACGGAAGGGAGCAGCACATACCGCCGGTGCAAGGGATCACACACCACGAGCTCGAGGTCCATCAGGAAGACGACCCTCTTGAAGTCGTAGCGGTCGTCGTACTTGGGAAGGCACTCCAGGAGGACGCGGCCTTGGCGATGATCGCGGGGGCGCCAGGGTTTGAGCCATCTCCCGATGGGGACGAAAGAGTAGGAGAAGTCGGCGGCGTTGGCGACGGCGCGGGCGAGCGGTGCGGACGGGTAGGGTGGCTGTGCGGGGTAGAAGCCATCTTGCCCTTCGGGAACGAAGCCGACGAAGGGAGGCGTGTGGACGGCTTCGAAGCGGCGAAGGAAGCCACGGTCGGTGATGACGCGGCGGAAAGAGCCGCACGCGGTGGAGGCGCGGGCGAGATCGGTCGGGGTAGGCAAGCGGAGGAAGATCTCCTCGAGGAGCTCGTCGGTGAGGGACAGAAGCCGCGGCGCCCGTAGATCGGCGATCGGCGATGGCGGCGACGCCATGGCCGCAGCCGATCGGCCGCCGGCGCCTGGCTGGAGGGGGAAAGGAATCGGTGGATTTAGGGCTCGGGAACTCGTCGGGGAACTATGCTGTGCTCCATGCGAAGAGCAGCAGACAAAGGGATTCACGCCGGCACTACAACTGTTTGGGCCGTGGCCTGTGGCGTAGAAAATTGCACATTTGAGGCTCCAGTCGTTGCTGCTTAGCAGTTTTAGGATTTCAATCGTCAACTTTGTAAAAATAGCCCTCCAATTGGACTCTTGATTTTTATGACATTATGTGTATTTTCTTTCTTTTCTTGCACATATACATGTATTTGGCACCGTACGTATCTGGAAGGGAAGTCCGAGCCGCCCGACATTTCGTAGCCGCCCGACGTTGAGAAGCCCTAACCCTTCGTCTGTTCGTATCGCCGTCGCCCGACGCCGCGACGTTTCTCCCAACCGTGATCCCGACACCGCGGCAGCAACCATGGAGGCCCAGCCTCCCGTCGCCAAGGGATAGCCTGCCAACGCCGTGGCCATGGAGGGTCAGACTCCCGACGCCACGGTCATGGAGGACCAGCCTCCCGACGCCATGGCCGGCCCTTCGCTTCCCCTGGCCATGGCCGCCGAAGGCCAGGCAACGGCTGCAAAGCGGCTAGCCACGCGCGCCCGAGACGACCTGGCCACGACAGACGCCTGAGGCCTGCCCGCGCCGATCGCTCAAGGGCTGGCAGCGGCCGTTGACGACGTGGCCATGCCCGAGGGCTCCATGGATGGTGAAGCTCCACCGCCGGCCACTGCTATGTCCAGAAATTTTAGCAAAAAATCCAGGCGGTGGCGACGAGCCAGGCAGCCCAGGCAGCAAGGATGGGGGCGGCCAGCCTGCCAGCCTGCCTGCCTGCAAGGGCGGCGACGGCCAGGAAGCCTGCCCAGGCAGTAGTCTCGGCCATCAAGTACGGACGTACGTACGACGGGAACAGAAGGAGCAGTCTCGGCCATCAAGCGGTCTCAGCAAATACATGTATAAAGATAAAAAAGAAAGAAAATACACATAATGTCATGAAAATCAAGAGTCCAACATTTTGAGGGTTATTTTTACGAAGAGTTATAAAACTGTGAAGTGCGACGATTAGAATCTCAAAGATGCAATTTTCTCCCTGTGGCCTGTGGGCAGGATATTGTAGTGGTACCTTTTTTTTAGGGGGGCTTCTAGCACAAAGCCCTAAAAATAACCGCAGCCGATCATCGGAACCGTCGCTGCGGATCAAGTGGCACGAAGCCACCTGACCACTTGGGTGTGTTGCTGTCAACAAGTTGCTAGGCTCAACCCGAGTCAGTTCACACCGCCGCCGACAACACCGCCATCCCTGACAACATCATCGGGCTTGGCCACTCGGGTCTGCCGTTGTCAACAACATCATCATGCTCAACACGAGGTGGTCACACTTGGTGATTGAGACGACAACACAAGTCTATGGTGTGTGCTAAAGATGTGCTAGACAGGTAATAGTAAGTCCTAGGGACGCAAGGCCTGTTTGGAATAGAGGAATAAAAAATGTAGGAATGGTAGAAAATATAGGAATAGGAAAGGAATGTGGTGGTAAAACAGAGGAATGAAAAAACACAGGAAATTTACATGAATGAGCGTTTGGAATGCAGGAATGAGGTAGTAGAAGAATCTCATTATATTTGGACTAATGATGTGCTTGTTTTGCTAAACTTGGTAGCTTAGGCAATAGTGTGTTGTCCTTTTTCTCACTGATGCATGGCAATAGTGTTCGGTAGCTTAGGCAGATGCGCATCATGTCACAGGAAATTTTCCAATGGCCTAGACCGGATGTTTCCTTTCCTTCACAATGCATGGGTGAAGGAAACTTTCCATAGGAAAGGATTGCTCAAATCCTGTGTTCCAAACACATGAACAGTACATAAAATAGAGGAATCTTGATTCATGTACTTTTCCTTCGGAAATCCTACAATCCAAACAGGGCCTAGTGGTGCGAATACCGGTGAAGGAATGGGGCAAAACAATTAAAAAACACTATTTTGTCCGGCCAACATGTAGGATGGTCCAACCAGTGGAAAATCAACGCGTAGGATGGTCTGGCTAACACGTAGGACGGTCCTACCGGTGGAAAATGAATGTGTAGGATAGTTTGGCCAAGAGAAGAAGATTTCCCCAGACAATTGAAGGCAGAAGCGCCCCAAGGGAATATTTCCAACTGGAACATATGACGCGCTTTACAGTGTGAAAAAGGTGAATCAACGAATGATGAAGTATAGAGGCATAGTCAGAGTGGTATGCTAAAATCATTATTCATTTGCACACTTGTAGGATGATCCGGTTATAGAAAGAAAAAGTGAGAAGCAGACTCATAGGACGGTCGATCTATCCATGGAAGGAAAAGTGAGCACAGGACTGTTCGGCTAGTGGGAGAAGTTAATGGCCAATTCCGATGGCTAGTTCAAAGGTACGTACCATGCTATCTGTTCTAATACATCTTGAAATCAGACTCCATTCTACGGTGGTATGGCCAGATGCATGTTGTTCGAAATATGGTCTCATGTTGGATTTGTATTATGTTGCCTTTGAATTGGAAACGTGGTCGATCTCATGTTGCATTTGGATTGGAAACATGTGGACAGTAAGAGTGAGATACGAACCGAGACAAGTGAGAAGCTGGGGGGATAGATTGATAGACAAAAAAGTGGAGACATAATTTTCTCCTTTTAATATTAGGTGTTTGGCTCACTGAGGGTGCACTACTACTCGTAAGAATGACCAATGGTTTTTAAACCATCAGGCGTTGCACCACTGGCAAAGACAATAGATAAATGTATACTGTTGGGAAGTCATGTCGTCCACTTTCGGTCAGAGATTCTCCTATTTGCCGACAGATAGTCATTAAGGTAGAGGCAAACGATAAGTTGTTGATAATGGACCATCAATAAGTTGATAATCAATGGTCCTAATTGTTGTTAGGCCAGGTATACTTCGCCGATGGGCCCATAGTCGGCAATATTTTCTTTGACGGTTTGTTTCACCGGTTGGGAAATGGATTTAATGATGGCAGTTTCTTAACTGTTAGGGACTATAAACCATTGACCATATATACACAGGGACAGCTAAACTTTTGTACTAAAAACATACGGATCGCACGATAAGATAACAGTGCTGTAAAATTAAATACCGACGTTAAAGTGGCATTTAATTCAAAAGACAAAGTTTGTGAAATTAACACAGTCACGGAAAAGCGCGGCGTCGTAGGCTCACAAAATCTACTGTATAATAATGTTTTATATCGGCGGAAAGAAATATCCGATATCTATTTTGTTTTGTGCTAATAAATCCACGAATAAGAGTATAGTGCCCGTGTTAACGCAACTGTTTCATTTCAGACATACACATGAAAACAACCAAACTACGTCCTCACATAAATAGAGTACAGAAGACGATTGAGAGATTCCAATTCATTGCATCATTTTTAGTATATTATAGAAATTTATCTTATACATACGGCAATACACCATTTAGAGAGAATGTGTATTATACAACTAAATTTAACAAAAATATATATCAGAAACATTTAGCCAGCTATAAAACATAAATTCTCAATTCTCTCAAGTACACGTGCTAACGCTACGGGCCACGCTACGGGCCACGTTAAGTTTAAAGTTAATTCTATCAAATTTAAAGTACGGGACACGTTAAGATAAAAATAAAATAAAAAGAATAGACAGTTCAAAGATGCTGACAGGCCTAAAATATCTATAGCCTGGCAATTGTACAAGCTATGATTAGAGCTAGGCAACCCAGCAAAAGTTGAGGCGAGTTTCTTGCAGCATCAACTTATGCTAGTGCATTGATGGTTCCAAACAATTTCTAAATGCCTGCACTCATGAGCCCAGAGTGACAATGCAGAAGTCAGAGGATCTTCCCTTCCTGTTATGTTTGTATCATGATACGTCAGTTCTCGTTTCAAATTATAAGAATATCATTTCCACTTCACTTGCGAAAAAAAGAGATCATAGTATTTCTTACAGTTGTTCTGATCTCTGCTCTTTCCTATTCTTGGTGCCCTGATTCCTGTTGCCCTTCTCCTGCTTCGACAGAAGAAACTTTCTCCTATATCCATGCAAGAAATTTTCGGATGAAGCTAACAGGCAGAATTCAGGAGGACTAATGCACCAAAAATCTCCTCACCTTTGTGTTTGTTCCCGGCCTGGCTTCTGCTCTTTCACTACGACTCTAAGATGCCTACCTAAAAGAAAGACGCAACGCAGAGAAGACCAATGTGTAAGCATCAATAGCACGAAGAAATTCCCTCAAGAAACAAGCTAATCATTTTATTCCGCGACGGTTCTACTCATAATCCCACCTCAATTCTCTATCTCAAAGGGATTTACACAAAGAAGCCGCGAGACACGTCTGAAGAACGTAATTTGGCGGAAAATCAACAAAATCAGCCCAAGAACCAACCAAATCCCCAACGGTTTCGCGATTCTCACCTCGGATAGATTCCCAGCTCCGACCCCTCACGGCTATCCTCACCCTTCTACAGATCTGCAAGAACAAGACCAGAGAAAAGACCCCATCACCAAACCGCTCGGAAAATCGCGATTTGCTCGGCTCCTGCCCAGTCCGTTTCAATCCAATCCCTGCAAATCCATGGGGAGGAGGCGGAAGAGGAGATGGGGATGAGTCGGAAGAGGAGATGGGGAGAGAAAACCTGGACACTATTACGGCCGGTGATGAAGATCCCGCTGGAGGCTTGTACGGCGGGCGTAGTAACCTTCGCGCCGTGCTCGTCGAGAGCACTGACGCAACTGCGGGGTGGGTGCGGACTTGGCGATCAGAGATGAAGATGTACACATACGTGTGGCGTGGGCGGCTGGGCGCCTATATGGCTCACGCAGCGCGCTGCGCAGCTCCGCCGCATACTCGGCGAACGGTTATCAGGTATTCAGGTGATCGATAACCAAGTATGCGTGAAGCCTGCAGCCTGCAGAGGTTGGATTACTAACTCGACCATCACGGCTTACTGACCGACTGCACATCCGCACGGGCTCGACGACGATGGCAATATGGAACGTAATGATCATTGCCGTCGCACGCATGCGGAGTCCCATCTCCGATTCTCCGATCTGTCTGCATCATGCTCTAATAACTTGGTCAGTCACCTCAATGCATACAAGTGTACACTACAACAAAAGCTAATGTTGGCAATGATAACACAATCAGCACTTAAAAGTTTTAAACCAGATTCTAAGCCTGGAAGGACATGTTGGATTTTTTAAAATCCAAAGCAAAGGTTCGACTCCGTTCGTCAAAAAAAAGCAAACGTTCGACTGAGCGGGATTTTGCAGCATAGAGCAACAAGGTTGAGATTGAATATAGCTTCCATGATGTGAACCATTCTTTTGAAAGACTGTAAGTGAAAGTACACAGGAGTCTCAGATGATAAACAATCACAATCAAACTGGGCACATCATCTTTGCCTGAAGAGATTTTATATTAGCATTAAGACAGGACCGCTTGGTATCCAACCATGGTTAGGGAGCTAACGAATGAACTGTCTGACACGCCTATTAGCCAGCAAAATTACAACGCCAAGCACTGTTTGTCCGTGTGTCCACTGCTCTGCCGCACTTCACTTCATAAATGCTATGAAACAGGCCGGGAATTTTGTACAGGTTACCTCAAAAAGAACGATCGCTTCGCTGCTACCTGCTTCAGCTGGAGGTCATCATGGTACTTCCTGCACAACAGGCTGCACATCATTTTCACGCCGGCCATGTCCTTCTCTGATAGCTTCTTCAGGTACCCGTGTTAGAGATTAATCTTGTCATTAGAGCATTGCAGGTTTACGTTGTCAGTTGCATTTAGAAAATAATTGTCTGTGTGTAGTTCTCTGCATGTTTACATAGGAGTATACACGTTTGGTGAGAAGCCATGCCATGTGAAGTGGCAGTGCATGCTCGTGATAATTGTTGTAACATGTTTAGGCTGCACGAGAGATTAATTAGGAACTAGCCATGCATAGGATTCTATTCTGGGTCAAAGCCACGAAGTGTTTTCATGGCGGAAGAATAGGACGGCGTCCAGGGACTGGGCACTTGCATGCTGCTAGCATGTTTCCACGGTTGCACGTTGCGAGATGCAGCGTGAGCCTCGCCTGAGTGATTTTGGCTGGGCGTTTATTTCATGCATGTACTTGAGTTTATATATGAATGAAAAGCGACGGGAGTTGTGTGGCTTGCATCAACAAAAGAAAACAGCTAGCTTGTGCCATTCTGTACGTGTGCGTGTATCTATTAAAGAGAGCAGACGAGTGTTTGCGATAAACACTTGCTGGTGAGGGAGAGATTCCCAACATCAGTGAGGGAGAGAATTCCAACAACCCGATGGTGCCGTGGGTGTGGGAGATCACCAGCTTCCTGCTCCGCATGCTCGCCGAAAGTGCCAGCGGGCAGGAGATGATGGCGTACTTCCTGGCGGTTTTCTTGGGGCTCGGTTCCAGCAGCTGCACGCCTGCACCAGGTTGGGCATGCTCTTCCCATCCTTCTTGATGTCTCTCGCATTCGGAGGTTACCTCATCAGGCTCGCCACCGCCTGCGTCACGCCGCCGCGACCAGGCCACTTCTCCGTGGTGCCGGGAGGATCGATCCGCAACTGACGGTGATGGAGGAACGGAGGTGGATGGGACAGGGCAACGACGGTATCGGCCGCGGCGGGGTCGTGGGTGTGGGCCGCACCGGCGAGGGGTGGATGGGGATCCGGGTTACGGGCAATGAAGGTCTCGACTCTTGAACTCTGGATTGCAGGAGTGCGCGATGGGGAGGCGTGCGCAGATCCGGGGCGGTCTTCCTTCTGTGCGCCCGCGGCATGGAATCGTGTGAGCGAGGAGCGACGCCCTTCCTTCTGTGTGGCCACCGAGCGAGAAAGCGGACGCCCTTCCTCTGTGCGCCCCTTCCTTTCCTTCTGTGGGCGCACGAGCGAGAGCCGAAGAGGAAGGCTATGTTTTTTTTCCTTGTCGCATGGGCGGGCAGAGCGTCGAGGCAGAAAACTTTTTTTTCGCACGGGTTGAAGCAAAGGTGAGCCGAAGTTTTGTTACAGTTTTTTTTAGTCTTTTTTAGTCGTGAGATAAGAGATAAGCATCATTTGTAACTGTTGATTTTAGCAAATATTTTTTTGACTGTCAGGATCTAAGGCCCTGCTCGGCTGGCTAAAAAATCGTCTGATGTTGATACTGATTTGTTGTGAGAGAAAAACACTGTTATTTTGCTAAAAATGTACGGCTGATAAGTTCCAGCGAAGTGGGTCTAAGTGTACGGCCATTTTAGTACTATTTGTTTTATTATATATCACAATATGATTAAATTATATTGCACACTGAACATTTTAGTATCATTTCAGAACTAGCACTATATTGCATAGTTCATTTAAATTCAACAACTGTAAAGTAAAGAAAGTAGCAAATAACATTCTTCTACCTATGACCAACGTACTTGCCTACGGGTGCGTTTAGTAGAGATCTAGATTTTCATGGAAACATTTTATATCTTGATTTTCTCAGAAAGGGTTTAGGTAATGAATTAGAATCACTTTATGAAATTAGTTGGCTGTTAGGCTAGATTGTGATACCAACAAATGTTTTTTCTATGAAAAGTCATATAAATAAAATATTCTTTGAAAAAAAATCTAAACTTTTTATGGGCGTACAACAAATTAAATACAATCATTTTTAACTTATTACACTAAGAAAGGATTATAACTAAAAAGTATAATTGCCAATACACAACAGTGAAACCAGAATCGTTGTGAAACTAGGATTCTGACGTGTTGTGAAACTAGGATTCTGACGTGTTGAGGTCCAATGAAGAAGCAATAATTGTTCCGTACTTTTTCATATTTGAAATGTTTCATTGTTAGTGTGTTTCTTTGTTAGAGTATCTCTATGAGTCTTTCTAAAACTCTAAATTATCATATAAAGAGTTATTTGAGTAAATATCGTTTTTTATTTCTTTGTGCCATTCAACAACTTTTTTTTATATCTTGTGTGCACCCTAGAGTCTATAAAACTATCCTTATTCTTCAACTTTGGCTAGCGAGAAATTCAGAATAGATGATGTCTATATTTTAGAGATTCATTTAAAGAGACTATTGGAGGATATTTTTTTTTACCAAAATCTATATTTCTATAAATTAAGAAGGATATAAAGTATCTTTTAGAGTTGCTCTTAGTGTGTTTGGTACGGTTTCTACCGATTCTACCAAGAAATGGAACCGATTCAAGTCACCATGGATCACAAGACATAATATAAATTGTTTTGTGGACAAAGGGACACATATATCTTTTTCTCATCATCAAAGGTCATAATCAGGGTCAAATTCATCAAGCCAAATTATGAAGTCTAAAACAATTCATCAAGTCAAATTATGAAGTCTTTTACAGCCATAGCCTTCATCATCATAATTGCCATAGTTCTCGTCGTAGTTATGGTCAAAAGTCTTCACCACTGCTCCATCCGGTTACCTAAAGCAAGTCGTCTCAATTCAAACGTTTTAAACTTTGACTACAAATAGATTTTTTGGTTGAGTTTAAAAATCTAAAAGTGATATAAGTAGATTCATCTAAAAATGTGGTTTCATCAAAGTATATATTGACTATATTTTATAAATATTTTATAGCAAAAAATAGCGGTCAAAGCTGTTTTTGAGACCGTGATCATGTCGATATTCAAAATGACTTGTTTTAAGAAACCAACTCAGCCGATGTTTATTTCTCCCTCCTAAACTTTAGCCTCTGTCACATCGGATGTTTGACATATGCATGAAGTATTAAATATAGACTAATTATGAAACTAAATATACAGATTGAGACTAATTTACGAGATGATTTTTTTAAGTCTAATTAGTCCATGATTTAACAATGTGATGCTACCGTAAACATGTATTAATGATGGATTAATTAGGATTAATAAATTCATCTCGCGGATTACTGAAAACTTGTCTAATTTGTTTTATTATTACTATCCAAACACTCGATGTGACACCCGTAAACTTTAACCGCTGGATTTAAACACCCCGAGATGGCTGCTCATTTAGCACGACCTGGCCCAGCTGTCACAAGGCGTCCAAGCCAACTGTCTGGCCCATGTGAAACGGGGCCTAACCTAGCCCGTGTTGTCATTGTGGCTACCCTGTTTTTTTATTTCTATTTCTATATATACTCTAATTTTGGTTTGCTTAACATTTGTCCGGTAACCCATGTGTAACTTCTCAGAAAGTATGGCTGGATCTACATTTACAAACTCTCTGCCTAGCCGCAGCGTCGACGGACCATGCGCTTGTATGGTTTAGTGCAGCCCTGATCAGGGAAGCTGTAGGTAATGAAACAAAAAACACGAACCAGTTGCACTTGCACGGTGTAAGATGACACGTACTACAACAGAACACTCTTGCAATTGAGCCACGAAGATGTTTACTAATTCTTCTGTACAAATCAAAGTTACAGCCAAACGAAAATCGGTGCATGATACACGCCCACAAACGCCTGGAGAAGTGATAACGCAGCCAATTAGCCCAGTTGAAATGCAATGCAACAACCTTCCTTGTAGAAACGTCAGTAGCAACACACCTAGGCCTGCGTTAAGATGTAGTGAGAAAACAGCAATATCTTTTAGGGCAGAAAATAGTGATATATACTCCCTACGTTCTGAAAGAGTAGTATAATGTATGTTCAGTTGTCCTAAGCCAAACCATCCTGAGTTTGACCAAATTTAAAGCAAATAAAAATAATATTTATGATACCAAATAAGCTTCATTAGATACATTATGAAATGTATCGCCTCTTTTGATTTGGTAGAAGTTAATATTCTTTGCAAAATTGGTCAAACCTAAGATGGTTTGACTTAGGACAACTGAAAATCTCTTATATTTCAGAACTGAGAGAGTGATGCATTGCAAATACTTGCATTCAGAGACTTACTAAATGCCACTATTCTGAGCCTAAAGTTGGATTTGAATGTTTATAACTACCTAAAGTCTAGCTGTGCATCACGAAACAAACACCTGTCCAGAAAGTTCTCTTTCCATGAATCCATGTAGTATACCAGTTAAATAGCAA